TCTCATGAATCTAACTTCTTTAGATCGCATTCTTCCAATCACATATTCCTTGGACTTATCGTTTAAGCATATAACATTTATATGAGACGGCTCAAACAATAATCTTTGCCCTTTACATTTAAACTACATTAGTTTGAAATGTCCGTAAAGTATCATCATATGATTGGTTTTAGGGCACATTTCTAACAGAAAGAGTCTTCTACGAGTGTGGGACTCAACTCTCAATGAAAGCACCAATTTGTGGATGCAAATTTCCGTCTTCTCCTTCTTGGACAAAATTGGACCTACAAAACAAATCACATCTTTGGTCAAGGCCAAAAGCCTCACGTGTTTGGAGAATTTTGTAGAGTTTTGCAAGAGACTTGGAAGTAGTTTTTTGAGAGAATGGAGACCTATTTATAGGGATATGGCCGGCCCTATTAGGAGAATAGGGACCGGCCATTTGTGGTATTTTTTGTGTGTAATTTGTAGTTAATTAGCCATTAATAGATTAATTAGGTAATAAATCCATTAATTGACTAATTAACATAATTTAAAAGAAATGTTTTGGGGTTTATGAAATAATTACCTTGTGGAGAATATAGGATAAGGGTGGATGAAATAGTTTTGAATTTGTTACCTATTTTGGGCACTTTTGACTTGGTTGAGGGATGATTGCCCGCTACTCATGCGTAGGAATCCCGGTATGACTGAAGGGTATTTTTGTCCTCTTCTATCCAAAAATCCATGTGTCGCCTTGTGATTGTTTTTGGCTCCACACATTCAATATTTTGTGAGATGCTAATATAAAAAGCCTATTTGAATCCACCATTCCCTAATATCATGCAATATTACTTTTGAAGCATAAAAGAAATAGGGCATATGCTATATATACATAACGCACAAATATAAACAGGGATGGAACCGTGGCAAGAATTTTTTTTTACACATTGTTTATACACATTTTTGTGGAGTCCACTTCTTAATGTATTTCAACAATCCAAACCGTCTTATCTTTTACGCATTCTCTCAAAGATCATGTCTACCAAAAATCATCCAAATCCGAAATCATATGATTGTTGGATTAAAGGGTTTCTTAGTAGAACCATATTCGTTAATTTTCTTTCATTACAAACAAATATCTTAACAGTTTTAGATTGTCTAATTTTTTGCAACGATGATTTATAAATGATGTTCTAAAAGATAGACGGTTCGGATTATTGAAATTCATTATAGAGTGGGTCCCACAAAAATGTGTGTCAAAAGTTGTGCAAAAAAAATGGTGTCACAGCCGTCCATATATATTTTTGTAAGACCCACTCTGTAATGTAGTTCGACAATCCAACTGTCTATGTCTTATGTCTTACCTCAAATATCATATCTATTAAAAATCATTCAAATCCGAAATCATATGACCATTGAATTAAATTTAGTATTTCTTTGTAGAACTGTATTTGTCCAATTTTTTCAATAGAAAAATAAATGTCGTAAATGTTTTAGATTTGTCTAATTTTCTTACAATGATGATTTAAGAATGATGTACTAAAATATAAACGGTTTGAATGGTTGAAATAAAGTTACGAAATGAACCTTACAAAACAAAACTTTGGTAATTTTATTTATTTTTTATTTATTCTATTAATTTTAATTTTAATTTTCCTCCAAATTTTATGTTTTTTTCAATCTTATTTTTATTTTTAATATTAGTTAAAATCTATATAAGTATCCAAGTCATTCAATGAATAAATAGGAACCCTTTGATGTTATAAAATCTAAAGGCTACAAAGAAATGTAAGAATGTTTGTAAAAATATTTGTCCATTGATCATATCCCATATATTGGTGATTTAATATTCAGAAATATAGAGTTCAATGATTGAGGGGTACCCAAAGAGCCAAATTAAGAAGTGACTTTTAATGAAAAACTCCCAGTATTGTTTACTTTAACGAAAGACCACATTTTTACACTAAAAAGTCAATCATAGTACTATTTATTTTACTCTTTATTTTGTCCTTATCGTTAAAACTCAAAGTTTTCAAACCCTTTTCATTAGTTTTTCAAATTAAAAAAGGGATTAACAGGCAAGTGAAGGAACAGAGGTTTGAAAGCAACGTCCATGATTCCTCAATATAAAGGTACGTAGTGATCGATGAAATTATAAGAAAGATACATAAGGTGTTTGGATCGATCGGGCCTGCTTTAGTGAACCTGGCTGCAACTGCAAGTATATATTATATCTGACACCAGCTCATCTTGGTCAAGTAAAGGTTATGATGTGGTCCAAATTGATTTCCATATGCTTTTTAACCCTCCAAAAAAGATTAAAAGCAACAAAAGTTGACGTATTTTCGCTCAATCTACACAAAAACCCAATCGAGGCACACAGATCAACAGTATAAAGGCTCCAACTACCACTAAGGAAATAATATCGTTGCAGAAACATATATTTCTATAGATGTATATTGCTCAATGAAAACAATTACATTTCCATCAAGCCAACTTTAATTTCAAATTTTACATTTACCCAACTAACTTAATTCACGTACACAACAAGTTTTCTTTATTTTGTGGTTCAAAGTTAAACGATCCAATATAAATCTAAATAAGAAAATAATAAGAGCCGAAATCTCACCGTAGTATCTATTTATGAGCCTTACAAACTTCTTAAGTTTGTGTGCGTGCTCGCAAAGTTGATTTTGGTGTATCAATATATATCCATATATCCAATTAGTGGAGTGATTTGGAGATCGATATTCAACGCTGCAATCAGGAGATGATAATGGTGGCCTCCCACTCTTTTTATAATTTTGTCCAAGAATAATTTGGAGCATATGGATATATTACGTCGACATAATGCCATGTCAACATCGATTTGAAATAATGTTCTTAGTTCACATGACAACATATAGCCCAATCCCATCTACTCATTCGGCTCCTGTAATTATATACTTACTTGAAAATGGAGGTCCAATAATGTCAACTTCTTTCCTCACCAAGTCTTAATTATCAAATTTCATACTCCTATTGGCAAGTTATATAAACACTAATCATGATCCAAGATAGAATGTGTCAAACGATGTATTGTTTTATTAAACTAATTAGTAGCTATGCTTTGTGATTTGGTTTGTGGGAAAACCGAAAGGAGGTGCTTATTCTTTTAATAAATTTAATTTACAAATTGTAATAACATTATTTACGCTAGCAATTCCTCCATGAGTCACAAGGTAGACTAGCAAAGTACAAGTAGTAGGACAGCACTTTACCCATCTTGCTTCCTAGATGATAAGAAAGCATCAAAACCCTGAAAAGTGTGTGAGGTGGCAAAGTACAAGTAGTAGGAAAGCACTATGGTAAAATCTTGCTGTCTAGGAGTCTCTAAGATCCTGGTGTCTCATCTTGCTTTCTTTTTGGATAACATGGGAAATCCTCGGAGGCCATCCTTTATTGAGCATACGTACTGTTAACTAAATGACGTAGCAGAAAATGATATCTTGCAAAGGAAGATTTGACAGAGAAAGTGAAGAATGAAAGAGCTTTCAAATTTTCTACAAGTGAATACAGTGACTGACGCAAATGTTATATATAGCTTACAGAGCTTTCGTGGTCACAAAGCAAATTAACAAGCTAACTGACTCTTACAACAAACTAGCCACTGTTATAACAGACTTCTAACAAACTTAGCTGTGCTCGCAGTCAACTATAGCCAACATCCCCCTTGTTGGAACTTGTGTTTATGTGGGACTCTAAGTCCCGCATCGTCCAAACCTTTGGTGAACTTCACCTTTATAAGTGAGTGAACTCACTTATAGTTTGAAACGAATTGGGCCAAAGCCATGGATCTTGGGCCTTAGACTTGGAGGGTTTGGGTGATACTTATTGTTTCGATTTTACTACTAAGAATGATCAGTTCAAGATAGTAAATTCACTACTTCATTAGGTAAAACCGATAAGTACTCACTAGAGAAGGTTCAAGTCCAAAAAACACCTATCCCGATGCGTATCGTATCTAAGTTCTCTGGAAAGACATTACTAATTTAGCAAATATCTTATTTTCAATTCAAATGTGGGGTATTGCTAGAGTTTGAATAGAAAATGTGGGGTATTGTTGGAACTTGTCTTTATGTGGGACTCTACTTGTAGTTTGAAATGAATTGGGCCAAAGCCATGGACCTTGGGCCTTAGACTTAGAGGGTTTGGGTGTATATATTAAATGTCAAAGATGGGCCTTGGGCCTGGGGCTCTTGGGCTCAGATGGACGAAAAACACAAGTTACGTTTTTGATTTTTTGGATTCAATTTTTTCCGAAAGGATAAAACTGATTGAACAGTTACCTTTGGTTTTAAAAATTGATTGAACAGTTATATTCAATTTTAAAAACTGATAAGCATGAACGGTTATATTTGTTCAAGTTATGCCATTATATATATGGCAATAAAATCAGAAACTCAATCATCAATTTCATTTTCCTTTCTCCATATTTCACAGAGAAACGCCCAATCAATTCGCCAAGAATCCAAATTCATGTGCAAGAACTTGGATCAGATAGTTGTATCCTGCAAGATAGACGTCCATTTGAACTACTGCACTGGTGTATGGGCGTATTTCTGTCTTAGGAGATTGCTGCTGCAAGTCTCTATCTTCCTAACCAAGTCAGTGTTTTGTGGTTTATTAATTCCGTTTTATTATTTGTTTACATTGTGAGAGAGAGAGAGAGAGAGAGAGAGAGATATATATATATATATATATTATATCCTTGTGAAACCTGAGAAAATATGGATCAATCAAATGTTGGTGTCGTCAAGCAACACGTTGAGAAACCTGAGAAGTTCAAGGGAGTTGATTTCAAACGTTGGCAGTAGAAGATGTTGTTCTACTTAACGACTCTGAACTTGAGTCATGTGATTACTTCTGAGGCCCCAAAGCACCAGAAGAGGGAGATATTCCTACCAAAATTATGCAGGCTATAGAAGCCTGGACTCACAGTTAATTTCTATGCAAGAACTACATTCTGAATGCTTTAGATGACTCTCTGTATGATGGTTATTCATCATATAAGACAGCGAAAGAACTGTGGGAGTCTCTGGATAAGAAGTACAAGTCTGAAGTGGCAAGTTCCAAGAAGTTTGCAATTGGAAAATTTCTGAATTACAAGATGAGTGACACCAAGTATGTTGTCAAGCAAGTTGAAGAACTCCAAGTGATTGTTCATGAGAAAACCTTGGTCTGAAAGAAGGTTTTGTGGTTGGCTCTATCATGGAGAAACTGCCTTCGAATTGGAAGGACTTTAAGATTTATCTGAAACATCTAACTGAAGACATGAACATGGATCAGTTGATTCTCAAACTGTATGTGGAAGAGGATCCATCGCAAAAATGAGAAGTATGATGTCTCATCGCTGGAGGCGAAAGCCAATGTTGTGGAAAGAGTTGACTCACACAAGGCAAGGCACCATCAGAAAAACAAAGGCAAGGATGCTGCAACGAAAGTAATGACTGTTGTAAAAGGGAAAACCTTCAAGAAAATCAAAGGAGGTTGTTGGGTTTGTGGAAAGACAGGTCATAGGGCAAAGGACTGCCGCCACAAGAAGAATCAGAATTCTGGAAGTTCCAATCAAGCAAATGTTGCAGAAGACACGTTTGTTGTTGTTATCTCTGAAGTCAATTTATTGACTAATTCAAATGACTAGTTTGTTGATACAGGAGTAACAAGGCATATGTGTGCTAATCGGAATTTATTTGTTACTTACCAATCTGTTGATGGTGGAGAAAATCTATACATGGGAAATGCAACTGCATCTGCCGTTGCAGGGAAGGGAAAAGTAACGCTCAAACTCACTTCCGGAAAAAAGCTTTCACTCAACAATGTTCTGCATGTTCCTGATATTCGCAAGAACCTGATTTCTGGATCGCTTCTGAGTAACAAAGGTTTCAAAATTGTGTTTGAATCTGACAAGTTTGTAATCACCAAAGGTGGGGTGTATGTGGGAAATGGCTACCTGGCTGAGGAGCTCTTCAAACTAAATGTACTTTCTGCTAATGCTATTAATAATAATAACAAGCCTAGTGTTTCTTCTGCTTACTTGATTGAGTCCTCTACATTATGGCATGCAAGATTAGGTCAAGTTAATTTTCGTTCTCTTCAAAGAATGGTTAACTTAGGCCTATTGCCCAAATGTTCCATGACCAAAGTATCTAAATGTGAGATATGCACAGAATCTAAATATGCAAGACACTCATATAAATCAGTGGAAAAATCCAACGAAATACTTGGTTTAATCCATAGTGATCTTTGTGATTTCAAATCCACACCAACTCGTGGAGGAAAGAACTATTATATCTCTTTCATTGATGATTGCAGCAAGTATTGTTATGTCTATTTGATTCATAGTAAAGATGAAGCTTTAAACATGTTTAAGACTTTTAAAGTCGAAGTCGAAAATCAACTAGACAAAAGAATAAAAGTCTTAAGATCGGATAAAGGTGGTGAATACGAATCTAATGACTTTGCATAATTTTGTTCGGCACATGGAATAATACATCAAACAACAGCACCATATACTCCTCAACAAAATGGAGTGGCTGAACGGAAAAATCGTACATTGAACGATATGATTAATTCCATGTTGAACAGTTATGGTGCACCACATAATTTATGGGGTGAGGCACTCCTTGCTGCAAACACGATTTTGAACCGAATTCCACATAAAAAGACTAATCAATCTCCTTATGAAATCTAGAAAGGTAGGTTACATACATATAAAACCTTGAAAGTGTGGGGTTGTCTTGCAAAAGTCCAAGTGCCTCTTCCGAAGAGACAAAAACTTGGACCAAAAACAATGGATTGTATATTTATTGGTCATCCCAATAATAGTTCGGCATATAGATTTTTGGTTCATAAATCTGAAATTGCAGACATTCATATAAATACTATACTTGAATCTACAGAAGCTGAGTTCTTTAAGGAAATTTTTCCTTATAAAGATAGGTCATATGTTTTGAACAAAAGAGTACATGAGCTTACTACAAGAAATGATGACGATAATCATGCTTCAACTTTTGGAGTTCAAAGCCAAGATTTGGAACCACGAAAAAGTAAAAGAGCAAAAATTGCAAAGGATTTTGGTCCTAATTTCCTCACTTTTGTAACCAAATAAAAGCCTCAAACTTATAAGGCTGCGTTAGAATCATCTGAAGCACCTTATTGGAAAGAAGCTATTCAAAGTGAAATAGAATCCATCATGCAAAATAATACATGGGAATTGGTTAATTTGCCTCCTGAAAATAAACCAATAGGACACAAATGGATTTTCAAGAGGAAATTGAGACCGGATGGTACCATAGACAAGTATAAGGCTCGTTTAGTTGCCAAAGGGTATCGTCAAAAAGATGGACTTGACTACTTTGACACTTATTCACCAATGGCTAGAATAACACCTATAAGGTTATTAATAGCTATAGCGTTTGTGTACAATCTTGAGATACATCAAATGGATGCCAAGACTGCATTTCTAAATGGTGAATTAGACGAAGAAATATATATGGATCAACCTGAAGATTTCATTGTCAAAGGTCAAGAAAAGAAAGTTTGCAAGTTGATTAAGTCATTATATGGACTCAAACAAGCGCCTAAGCAATGGCATGAAAAATTTGATCATAATATGATTACGAATGGATTGTAATCAATGAAAGTGATAAATGCATTTATGTTAAGCAAACGAAAAATGCTTGTGTTATTGTATGTCTATATGTTGATGACATGCTTATAATGGGAACAAATAAAGATGTGATTAACTCCACAAAGAAAATGCTAAATTCTAGCTTTGATATGAAAGATATGGGATTAGCTGATGTGATTCTTGGAGTTCGAATTCTAAGGAATTCAGATGGATATGTCCTAACTCAATCACAATATGTTGAAAAGGTTCTAAAAAGGTTTGGACATTATGATTGAAAACCTGCAGTAACTCCTTTTGATCTCATTCATAAACTTAAAAACGAAGAAGATAGCGTATCTCAATTGGAGTATACCCAAGTTATAGGTTGCTTGATGTACATTATGAATTGTACAAGACCTAATGTTGCTTATTCAATAAGCCGACTAAGTAGGTATTCAAGTAATCCTGGAAGAGATCATTGGAATGCTTTAATAAGGGTATTAAGATACTTAAAGCATACAATGAACTATGGTTTGCATTACACTCAATATCCCCCGGTATTAGAAGGATATAGTGATGCAAATCGGATTTCAGGGAGCACAGCCAGTAAATCCACAAGTGGATATGTATTTACACTTGGTGGAGCAGCTGTGTCATGGAAATCATCCAAGCAAACATGTATAGCATGTTTGACAATGGAATAAGAGTTTATAGCCTTAGATACAGTTGCTGATGAAGTTGAATGGCTTAAACATTTTCTGGAAGATATTCCATTATGGCCCAAACCTGTGACTGCAATATGTATACATTGTGACAGCATGGCTGCACAAGGTCAAGCCAAAAACGCTAAATATAATGGGAACTTGAGACATATAAGGCGACGACAGAAGACCATTAGACAGCTACTCAAGAATGGAACTATTTCCATTGATTATATTAAATCTAAGGAGAATATTGCCGATCCTTTGACAAAAGGCCTATCCAAGGATCAAGTGGCATTTACATTGAGGGGAATGGGTTTAAAGCCAACTCAATAAGTTATAACTTGACGGAAACCTAACCTAGCTAATTGGAGATCCCATGGTCTAGGTTCCATAGGCAAACTAGTTGAGGAAAACTCAAAGTAAGAAACTCACAATCTTTACTAGTTCTTATGATGGAAAACAGTGTGTTGCCTGTAAGACGAAGAGGGTGAATAACTATTCTTAATAATGCTAATATCTTATGGTTAAGATGAATAGAACAGGATAATCTTTATTAGCATTACCTATATGAGATTGTTGTGGGGTTGCATCTTTGAGAATTGGTATGGCTACAATTCTCTAAAGGTCTTATGAAAGCAGAATATGTTCAGGACGAAAATGAACACAACCCTATGAATTGACGTGTGTCAAGATGTGATATGTGTGATACTTATTGTTTCGATTTTACTACTAAGTATGATCAGTTCAAGATAGTAAATTCACTGCTTCATTAGGTAAAACCGATAAGTACTCACTAGAGAAGGTTCAAGTCCAAAAATTCACCTATCCCGATGCGTATCATATCTAAGTTCTCTGGAAAGACATTACTAATTTAGCAAGTGTCTTATTTTCAATTCAAATGTGGGGTATTGCTAGAGTTTGAATAGAAAATGTGGGGTAGTGTTGGAACTTGTGTTTTGTGGGACTCTAAGTCCCACATCGCCCAAACCTTTGGTGAACTTCACCTTTATAAGTGAGTGAACTCACTTATAGTTTGAAATGAATTGAGCCAAAGCCATGGACCTTGGGCCTTAGACTTGGAGGGTTTGGGTGTATATTTTAAATGTCAAAGATGGGCCTTGGGCCTGGGGCTCTTGGGCTCGGATGGACAAAAAACACAAGTTACGTTTTTTATTTTTTGGATTCAGTTTTTTCCTAAAGGATAAAACTGATTGAACAGTTACGTTGGGTTTTAAAAATTGTTTGAACAGTTACATTCGGTTTTAAAAACTGATAAGCATGAACTGTTATATTTGTTCAAGTTATGCCATTATATATATGGCAATAAAATCAGAAACTCAATCATCAATTTCATTTTCCTTTCTCCATATTTCACAAAGAAACACCCAATCAATTCGCCAAGAATCCAAGTTCGTGTGCAAGAACTTGGATTAGATAGTTGTATCCTACAAGATAGATGTCCATTTGAACTACTACACTGGTGTAGGGGCGTATTTCTGTCTTAGGAGATTGCTACTGCAAGCCTCCATCTTCCTAACCAAGTCATTGTTTTGTGGTTTATTAATTCAGTTTTATTAATTGTTTACATTGTGAGATATATATATATATATATATATATTGTATCCTTGTGAAAATTCTATTCGAAATAAACTGTGCAATTGTTGTATATTATATACTTCACATTTGATTGGTTCTAACACCCCTCAATCTCAAGGGATTTTCAAGCTTCTGATTGTAACAATGTCTCATATATACGAGACTATGAAGGCCCCTTGTTAGCACATTTGTTGTTTGAACATCAGTGGGAATATGAAGCACTTCCAAATCACCTTGTTGAACCCTTTCTCTCACAAAACAGTAATCTGTGTGGCTATGCTTAGGTGTTTGATTCTAGAGTGAAATGCTGAATTTTCAGTCAATGCTATAGCAAACATGTTATCACAGTAAATTATGAGAGGATTAAGGATAACAATAACCAAATGTTTCAAAATACACTTAATCCAGGCAATACCGACATGAGTACGAGTTAGGGCCTTCTATTCGGCTTCAGTAGAACTTTTGAAAACATAATTTTGTTTCTTAGACTGCCATGAGATTGGATTACTGCTTAGAAATACTTTTTAACCTCTTTTTGATCTTCTTTTTGTTGTTAAGCTCTGCAACCCAATCTAAGTCTGAAAATGCAGTGAGATTTGCCTATTTGTGCAGAATATACAATACGACGTATTGTTCATTGAAGATATCTAAGTATTCTTTTGATAGTTCCAAAATGAACTTCTGTTGTGTGGTCGTGAAGTGACATACTGAATTTACTGCAAAAGCAATATA